AAATTCCCCCCCTACACTATAATTTTAACCCCCTACGCTAAATTTTCAATACAACATAGGGGCATTGTGACTGTATTTCTTAATGTTCAAGAAAGCCAGATCAAATGTGAAAAATTACCAATCAAGGATACATTGTACATACCTTACCTTACATACATTTTTCCCTTTGGGTATCCCTCAAATGGCCCCTTTTTTAGTCTCAATTTTTTAAAAGTCTCCGCCCCATGTTGGTTGCTTCGCTCCCTTGACATGTGGCCAGTACCACTATGCTAAAATTAAATCCTAGCTATATATAGCTAGAACCCTGAACGGTGTGCCGATGGCCGGTGACCACTGCAATTTTAACTGGGATAACTAAAAAGACAATTTGGGACATATTTGGGACAATAGAAAAAAAATCAACATCAGAATGTCATCCCTTCTTTTGTACATGTTTAAAGGAGTACTAACCTCCAGAAGGAAGTGCTATTTTCCGATACATCATGCTGCAATGAATACATAACTAGCCGACTCTTTAGATAATTTCGCTTGTGCGTCTTGCGCGGCGCATGTTTGTAAAGTGATATTAATATCATTTTCCCCCATGCTGAACCACAATTGATACATCCGGGAACTCTGGCTTACGCAATACTCATACACTTCAGGTCAACATACACATTTTTTCGGCGAAAATGGTAGGAGACAAGCACATTAACAAGCTGATTATTGAGAAATTACTTGCTTTACTTTGCTTGACCTGCGGTTTGGATACTATAATATCAGGATGTCGAATACAGTGGGAGCCAGTTTCATCCTGCGTGTTTTTAATTTCTCAATTTATTTGCATGTAAGTATTACTTGAAGAGATAATTAGATTACGCCACTTATGGAAAGGATAACTAGATTACGCCGTTTTTTTCATCGTCAATATTTGCGGCATAAATGAGGGGCGATAAGGACACCAAGAAGGGCAATGGTTGGTAAGATACCAAAGAACACGAAACGACACGAAATTTTCTTATCGCCCCCGAAATAAGGTCTGTAACGTAACTTTTTGTTTAAAACATAGACACCAATGGGGTAGCGTGGTGTATTCTGGGATAGTTTTGAGGGTATTTCGAGAGTTTGTCCTGGATTCGATGCGTTTTAAGACTTGCGCGCAAAATGGGCATTTAATGGTATACTGTAAAATAATATGCATTTTTCACTTCCAAAAATAAATGCCTGTCGAAATATAGCACCTCCTTCTGGAGGTTAGTACTCCTTTAAAGCTCCCAAAAATGCTACACAAAATTTCCCGTTTACTCTACAATTATAGTGCGCATGGAAGTCAGAACTTAAGTCAGAACGAAAGCAAAATAAAGCTGACTTCAAGTTCACTTCCTGAAAAACAGGCTGGGACAGTTCATCCTCACTTCAGGGCAGTTGGAATTTATTTTCAGGACAGTGCTGGGACAATAGGAGAAAAAAAATTAATTTCAAGGCCTGCACAATTATGCAAGAAGACAACAGGAATTATGACAGGAATCACTGGCATGCATAATGGATTGTGTTTTCAGGCTGAAGATTGAAAGGGTCAATCTACATGTAACATAGAACCTGTAAATGTACATACATGTAGCTGTATAGACCTACATCATACATGTACCAACCCCACCTGTGGGAGGGGGGCGGTGTGGCTGCTCCGGATCGCTCTAAGTCTAAACAGGTTGAGTTTAAGCCCGCCGTGTCGATAGAAACGTTATACACGTTTTTTTATCACATGTGTCACTGCTGGGGGGAATCATATAAAAATACCTTTATGGCACTTATAATGAATATGCATGTACGAAAAATATTTATTTTAACTCACCTTCTAGAGTTTCGCACTGTACGAGATTCGCGTAGTCTGTCCGCCTCAAAATCCCTCCCTTGAACCCCCGCACCAGTCCCTCCAAGTACCCGTTGTCAATGTTGAAGTATAATTCCTGCATCGCCATGGTTTTCGGTTTTTGCCGTCGTTTTTCCGACCCACAGCCCCGAAAATGTCGCCCTGGTCGGTCAAACAGATCACATGATACATGACATGACGTTAGCGTCACAGGATGGGGTGCAGTTTCTAACTTTACCGCATGGGGCACACTATTGTGCCACATTGGAGTTTATAGGTCACAGCCCACTAATTCCAGCCCCTATTGGAATATATAGAAAACATCTAAGAACTGAGCTGTCAACTACGAAGGCCCATAGGTACACTTAGCATTTTTTATTCCACTTTGTATTTTCTATGGGTACTTTGTATTTTCTATGGGTACTTTGTATTTTCTATGGGTACTTTGTATTTTCTATGGGTACTTTGTATTTTCTATGGGTACTTTGTATTTCTATGGGTACTTTGTATTTTCTAGTGGTACTTGTTTTTTCTGTGGGTACTTTGTTTTTCTGTGGGTACTTTGTATTTTCTATGGGTACTTTGTATTTTCTATGGGTACTTTGTATTTTCTATGGGTACTTTGTATTTTCTATGGGTACTTTGTATTTTCTATGGGTTACTTTTATTTTCTATGGGTACTTGTTTTTTCTGTGTGTACTTCGCGAAGTTTTTTGGTGGCTGGCGAAGCAACATTCATTTTGCTTTGATGTGGATGCTCCCATTTTTATTATGGGCGGTATATTTCTGTTTACCATTCCAGGCAACTAAATTTATTTTGAACCTATTAAAACATAATATACTTTACACTTTAAGAAAATTTTGTTTGTTTTGCATGCAATGTTCCACACGTTTATTAATTAGGAGTATCAAATAGTGATTATTACATCCTGGCATAGATTATGTTAATGTAGACACAGGACCATACTATTTTCGGGGGTGCTAGGACATATTGTTCAGACTTCCGTCAACATTTCCGTAGTGATATATGGTAAATCACTTCCTCGCTGAATGTAAATTACTCCTTTGTATTAAAAAAAGCCCGTAATCTAAAGCGAGGGTTCATTGCCAATGTTGGGAAAAAATTGCATTGCGGTTTGCTGCCCTCCTACCAACCGCGAACGTTCATCACATGCAGTTTACGCAGGAAATGTGGACAATATGCCGTTTCAGTAAATAACCTG